CAGTTCACTAAAATTAAATAATTAAGGCACTTGCAGTGACCAGTTAACAAGTAATCAGTGAGATAGTATATAAATACTGGAAACGCTTAACAACTTCGTTGTAAATAGACAAGTGCACCTGTCAATGGTGTGGTGGCCGTAGCCTTGTATATCAAGGTTTAAATACCGAGTGAAACAAAGACCGTCATATCCAGCCTCTATCAACACCTTTCTTTTCTTTTCGCGATCCCGAACCTTGCGCATAACCATTGTCATGACCTGATTGAGTGACTTCCTTCCATCAACGCGAAAGGATTACCCTCAGAGAAAGAAAGGATTCAAATCCTAAAGATACCCTTTCCACACGGTATAAGTACTCACAATCAATTTCATCTAATAATAAACTATCACCTTTGCTATCCCCAGCAATATTCACTATGGTCATTCGGCATATGTAAAAATAACAAACCCTAACGAGATTCTGCCTACATGGTCACGGCCGGTGATTGTGAAGATCTAAAATTCTATCAACAGTGAGACAACATGGCTGTTCGTATTCATTTCCAATATCCTCTTAGAATTAGTGATAAATATTTTAGAGTCCCACACAAGACTTTCTCTTAATAATTCTTACAAAATACCACACAGAAAGTGGGGTGTGGGAAAATGGGACATTTTCCTAGTAGTAGTGGTGACTGTTCTATCATTATTGTACTATCTAAAGCATGAATTTGGCGAAACATTATATTTGCAAATCACCTGGAATGACTCACGTCGACAAAACTTCAAACGAATATGTCCGCAATCCACAAACCATCACTTCATTAATGGCGAACATTTTACCAACCCCCGACAATCGTGTCAACTTGGGGGTTTCCCTAGCAATAAACTCGCTTCTAAAAATTCACTTCTGTTCTACTGTCGGTCAGCATAATGGCTAGACTGGACCCTTGTGGAATGGTTCATGCCATAAAAGTCCAGCAACCGAACACTAATTAAGACTGACCGACCTTGTGTTTATGGTCACGTCAATGGCCCTCATTAACTCATGATTCACTTCTCGCTGTTTTGATTTATCTCACTATTCATTTGATATATATGTCGAATTCAACTGAAACCCAGTCCTGCGTTACACGCATGGCACATGCGTGTGCAACAAGTGACCCACGCGTGCTCAACGGGTTGCACACGCGCTGCACAACCTGTGCACACGCGTGTTTAACGGGTGCTCAACCCGTGTGCAACCCGTTTAGCACCCTTTCCACATGCGTGTTACACGTGTTGAGAACGCGTGTAAGGGGAATGATCTTTTAGGCAGTAGTAGATATGATGGCAGTCTGTAAATAATCGAGACAATCCAGTGATTAACATCACGAGAATCGATCTACGCAATTGAGATAGTATGGCATGCATCAACCAAGTCAGCGAGCCTGACCACCCGATCCCGTTAGTCGGCTCTAACGATAAGCATAGTCACCTGTTATGACAAGCATTCTATTCCTTCATGGGTCTCATTTAATTGAGATCGGACAGCAGTAGGACCATAACATTAGTATCAGATGCTCTGACTGAAATCCTTTGCGATCCCAAGTCAACCCAGGTATTGCAGGCTTGAAATATCAATCTTGTATCTGCCTCTCCCTGGCCACACTTTGGAACACGTAATCTGATAACTTGTTGTGACAACATAGCACATACTGCCGATAACAAGATATAGCTAATGTCCTGACAAAATCTAATTATATGTATATTTTTCCCATTCTTCTACAAGATCATGATTTGAACTTTGAAGAGCGAATTGCTTGATTGAATTCTTTTGGCTCGGTGAGGATCCGCTACTATGGCAAATTTGGTCAGACCACGCATCTGCCTCTTAGTATGCATCACACGCTTTGCCATTCGGCAGAGTCCAATAAGCATTGTTTGGGCAATATCCTTGAACAAAAGCGGTGCGTTCGTGAGATATTGTCCATCAAGAGTGACAGTTTGTTCGTAATACTCGATCTTCTTTTCAAGACAGCACAGAAGACTTGATTTGTCAGTCTTGTTGAGAGAGCCAACCATGTGGGCAAACCAGAGAGATTCATGAGACAAGGGATATCGAAAGACTTCTTGTAGGGTGGTATTTAAGGATTAGCAGTCTTCCAAATAAATCGCTTGAGCATGTACCCTCACCTTACCCTCTTATCCTTGTCTGTTGTCTGTGCGTGAAGGTTTCACAGCTACAACAGCAAAGAATCTGACTTTACGTCTTTGAATTGGCTTTTCGTACCGACGAGGATCACCAAAACAGCCATTTTGAAATATTGTTCGTACCAGTCTTCTCCTTTCTGTTGCACAGAAAAAAGATAACTGGCTATTTCATCAGGTAATCCTTTCCAGAACTTGTACAGTTAAGACCATCTTCCCGAGGCAACTGACTGTAAAAGTCCAGTTTCAACACATTCCGATTGGACTGGAATTATGGAGTTATATTTTGGCTGGACTGACGAGACTAAATCGACATTAGACGCCCAATTCTTCTTCAACGTCATCGTCAGGCAGGCCAGTATACTGTTCACAGCTTTGATGGCCGTGTAAGGGTCTACAGGCGACCAGGAAATCGTTTTGGCGACGCTTGCTTTACTCATGGTCAGTTTGGAAGTGTAATGGTTTAGTGTGGCATTACAACTCATGGAGAACGTAACTAATCATTGTTAATGGCAACTTGAATGGCGTACGCTACCTGCACCTGTTGTAACAGACTTTTTGAGGCAGCATATCGTTGCTGTAGTGCCATGGCCGGCTGTTTCTCAATACTTCACCTCAGTAGAACCTGTCTGGGATGAGATAAAACGACGCCAAAGATAGGACCAGAAACAGCCGGTAATGTTAGCTCAGTTGGGACAATCTTTGGTAGACATTTTGAACATGCCCCAGGCTGCTTTCAGTGATCTGGTGTCTTCATTACGCCCCCCATGCTTCGCCTTTTATCAACGCAAATGCTGGTCCGACCCAATATTGACATTGTTGAGTAGTTACACCACCCCTCTTTTAGGGCATGTCGCGCTGTCTCCTGTCACCACTTTATATGATGCACGTTTTTTTCCCCCAATTTTATATGTCAACCTTCAAGCAGGTTGTTGGTCAGGTAGGTTCGATCCCCGGCCGCGTCATACCAAAAGACGTTAAAAGATGGTTCTTGTTGTTACCCTGTCTGGCGCTCAGCATTAAGGGCCTTAAACAAGGACTGGTCGGCTCGAAGTCAGTATACTGTGTCTGAGTGGGTTTTTCATGTTAAAATGCGGCATGGTATGTCAGTGTGCTCAACAATCATTCTCAGCTCCTGGGGAGTATACAACCCAGCCTGCCTGCTAGTTGCTAGAGGTTTAACAACCATCTCATGCCATGTCATCCTACCGAGTACCCATTCACTGCTGGTGGATCAGAGGCACATTTCCAACAAAGTTACTTGCCTGAGAAGACGCCATTTATGTACCATGTGCTTCAGTGTGGGGCTCTAGAAATTCTCATGAACCAAGAAGCCAAAACGCGGTCACCCATCTAAGGACTCTCGGCGATAGACGTTGCTTAACTTCAGCTGATTTGTGACCTTGCGATGTGCAAAGAACCGCGTGTCACATCTTGCTCAAAGCACATTATTACTCTGGTCATTCTCACCTCCCAGTGGAGTATACAACCCAAGATTCTTGTGAGGCGAGAGAAGGATAACAACCATATTGCCATCTCAGTCTACCCGGTACCCAGTCACTGCTGTCTGAACAGAGTAATAAACTAAGCGGCAAAAAAAAGTATAGGTTGGCAATTTGTAATTTTCCTAAAAACAGCGACAACTAGTGGAAAGTGGGTATTAGGAATATGACTGCCCAGGAACAGGTACCAAAAAACACCTTACCCGAACGCGCCACCTTTGATGGCGCTCGTGCGGTAACAAAAAAATGGTGAAACAGGTTTCCCGCCTATGGCATAAACTGCACGTGCATGTTAGCTGTATAAATGCGTTCGTATAAACCAGCAGAACGTTGACGTTTTGCCATGGCCTGCAGACTCACCCGACATGAATCCTATTGAACATCTGTGGGACCATCTTGACAGACAGATTAGGGCACACCATCAGCCTCCCGTCAACAGACAAGAATTGCAGCAGGCCCTGAGAGACGAGTGGCAATGGATTCCAGTCCACGTCATCAGAAGACTGACGTCATCGATGAGGCGGCGTATCACAGCATGCATTGAGGCAGCTGGACGTCATACATTGAAGGCAACTGTATAATGTGTCTGACAATTTTTTGGTGACATTTCAGAAAACTTTTGAAAATGAAATTTCTTACCCCACCATTGTTTACCTTGAGCTTACATTACCTGTGATTGCACAATTTCATTCAAACTGTGGTTGATCAATCATTCGTTACCCCTCCCTAGATTGTATTATAATTCACAACAAAACGTCTTCTTGTTATTTTTTTTATCGATCATGGAACTCGACCTATACTTTCTTTTGCCGCCCAGTTTATTTCGAACAAAGTCACTTGCCCAAGGAGACACCACGTGTGCCCTCATCGATTTGAAAAGTTGTCGGAGACCGGATTTAAATGAAATAGGAATGTAAGTTTGTTTTTTTGCAACGAAATCACGTATGGTTTATAAAAAATCCTGACACCGAAAATAACGATATATGGATGTTTTTTCTTTAGGCAACGGTGAAAGATTTGTTTAATTTTGAGAAAGGAAACCCACATTGCCATTGCTACTTTGCTTTAAGAACCATTGGAGCTAACAAAAGACCACTAGAGTATAACCATTTCTGCGCATGCGTAGATTATTTCAGTTACTATGCATGCACAGCATTAATCGAAAAGCGCGACAATGCGACCTTTTTAACACATTATAGATGGGGCGACAATGCCACAACGCGGAATATTATGATCTTGAAAAATGTCGCGTTGTGGCATTGTCGCCTTTTGGTAATTTTTACACTCTTTGCTTGTTTTTGTAAGGGCGTACAATGCGACAACGCGACCATGTCCCTCCTGGGTTCCGTAGTTCTGGGGCCACATCTTCATGCTGTTGTCTTTTTAGGCCAAAAGTAAGATCACCCGGACGACTATTGCACTTGACTCAGGTGGATTGTTGACAAGGTCCTGCGTGGTCTTGCCGTATTATCTTTTTAAGAATACGTTCATGATATATGCATGTAACCCAGCTCCTCGAGCGGGGCAATTTGGAACTGGAAATTGAGCACTGAACATCAAGTGAAGAGCTCTCAACAAAACGTAGTGGTCCCACAGACGGGCTTGTGTTTTTAATTCTTCAGCGGATAGTTGTTTCAGTGAAAACGACTGTATTTGTAGAAGTATCTGACTGCTGTTGGTTTAAAACGTACATCATTACCACTTGTAAGTTTCTTTTGGATGTCTGTTCATTACTAATATACGGTTTTGGTTATAATAGAGTTGTGAGAGAATGGTTTCAAGAACACAAAGGAGACAGCACCCTGGTAATTCCATTGTTGGATCTGTATCCAGTAGCTGTAATGCATTTCTATGACGTCATCTTTAGCTATTAGCTTAACGTGAGGTTGTTGAGGACATTACATTCGAACACTACCGGGACCTACCCAGTCAAGCCACAGTCCTCTTCTTCCTTCAGAAGTACGAATACGAAACCACCAGAGAAATTGACGCCATGGAACTAATTATTTTCTTCTTCTGAAACTGTGATGTGCAACATTAATATAAATACGTTTGGTTTGACGATTGGAAGTGACTTACATGCAAATTTGATTCTGTTTTAATTTTGATCTTCAGGTGAGATCTTTTTCATAAACGTTGTGCAAAAAATCCATGAGGGTGAGCCCAACAACTCCATAACATTGGAACGGGATGGTAACCTGGAAGGAAACGTCTCAATTAACTACACCATCAGTGCAATGATGTTTACAACCCCTACAGATTTAGAGCAAGGAGCTTTCACAATTTTTTTTCCTGCTGGTACTTCAACACTGGAAGTGCCAATTAACTTGACGGACAACTCTGTAAGTATCTTCTGATATATTACCGATGTCCATTAAACGACCGTGACACGTGATGCGTATTGCACACGTGTGAGTATACATGGCTCTATGTCAAATTAAACAATATTAAACCTATTCGGGGGATAACTGATTCCGGGGCAACAGCATGGCGAGCAATCTGGCCCAGGCTTCCCCATTGTACACAAGAATGATGACATGATGCAACTAGTTCTTGCTGTTTCATATCAACGTTGTACGCAGTACGGTAGTGACCATGTATAACCATGTTTTTGTATTGTCTTTGGGCAGGATATTCATACATTGTTATTTTAACCTTCATAACTTACTCATTCTTCATCTGTTTAAGGTTTGTGATGGTAGTCGAAATGTACTAGTGGTGATCACAGGCATCGATGGAGCAATGGAACCACCGGTTACGCGAAAGAGTTTTGATGTTGTTGATGACGATGGGGGTAGGTTGATATGTATTACTATATTTAAACTTGTCACATACACAACATTGCACACACACACACACACACACACACACACACACACACACACACACACACACACACACACACACACACACACACACACACACACACACACACACGCGCACTTAAAACAAAATGTTAACCCAGAAATCTGTCCGCAAAAGAAACCAACAACCAACCAACAAAGTGGTATACAATAAGCAAATGCATTAAAAATTCACTAAGTTTAAAAATCAATACAAATTACTGCACAGCAATTACAATGGCAGTTAACAATAGAGTGGTAGTACAATATGCAATGGCAATAAATAATATGATGGCAGCGGTCAGTGTCAAATTAGAAAATACAGTGCTGATTGCAAAAATCCGTGATAATGATATATGTTCACCCAGCGGCGACAGTGGTCAAGCTTCCGAGATGGGCCAGGCAGGGAATCAGAGATGCCGAGTGATCCACACGCGAAAGCTGGTCCTAAGCGATGAAATGAGTGAGAGGCGAAATGTGTGGGAGACACGTAAACACGCTGTTATCCAAATATATAAACAGCCTAACCAGATACTCGAAGGTTCCACATGTTTCTATAACATGCTATCACCGTCCGCGGACGGACTGGAAGTTTATACACCATACTCGCATCTAAATATGGCTAGTTCCTGTCGACTGCTTACATTGTCCAAACACAATGCATTAAGCGTCTACCGAATCTAAACAGAAACAATGTAATACTTTTACAACCACTGTAAAACAACAGAATACACAACCATGTAAGAAATAAAGGACGAGTAGGGGTTGCTTATCTTACAAGAAGACACTGCAGGAAGAATAAACCATGAGGAGGGCAGTCGTTTACTTCTTATAGGAGATTCTAACATTATGTAAATCTCTTGAAGGGTGTTAATGAAATGTTCAAACTTTAAAAAAGTTTACCCGTATTTAGATAATGATGACTCCCTGAATAGAATCCGACCTCATCAATGTCGGACAAGTAGATGTTAGGAACAGGGGAGTTGCGTTTGGTATTTCCCGGATATTATTCCACTTTCCACTTTCGGATGCGATCGTTGCTCAGCTACCGATATGGGGGACAACCCACTAGACACTTCCCTTTAAAAACAACGTCTTCCAATTCTCTGCAGTGTCTTATTGTCTGCGGTAAACAATGAACACGAGTCGTGCATTTCGTATATGGAAGATAACACATTTTGTAAGGCCACTTTAAGGATGTTAAGTAAATGTACAAGCTTTAAAATATTTACCTGTATTTAAATAACGATGACTCTCTGAAAACAATCTGACCTCGGCAATGTCTGACAAGTCCATTTTATAAACAAGGTTACGTTTGGTACTTCCCCGATATTCTCAAAAGTTTCACAGCTGCACCTTTTCTCCCAATACAGATTGTCATATCTCCCACTTTTGAATGCGCTCGTTCTACAATTCCGTTCCAAGCCCAGCTACATATATGAGAACAACTCACTTTCTAGGGCTTCGGTCCTGCCCCACACTGAAGCACATGTACCACATGTGGTGTCTCCTTAGGCAAGTGACTTTGTTTGAAATGTGCCTCTGTTCGACAAGCAGTGAGTGGGTACCCGGTAGGGTGACATGAGATGAGCTGAGATGGTGGCTGTTAAGCTTCTAGTGCCTTACAGGAAGCTTGGGTTGTATACTCCCCAGGGAGCTGAGAATGAACATCGAGTGCTCACTGATCCGTTGACCGGGTTAATAATAGTGTAGCGCTATGAACATCCACTTGGTGAATGGAATATGGCGCATTATAAATGCACTTATTATTATTATCATTATTTTTATTATTACTTGACACTTCCTTCTCAAAAATAACTTCGTCCAATTTACGATGTAATCCTTTTGCGAGGGCATGTTCGAATTTCCAGAAATGACGTCATGGTAGAAGAATATTTTATTGTAAAACAAACCAAGAGCTGTTCTTCATTCTTCTTTGCGATTTATCGCGTAGCTGTCTTACCTATATTTATCGCGAGGTATCTTTTATATATATGATCTATTGTATATTTATGTATCGATATTTGGAACCTCTTGTACATCCCTAATATATTCGCCTGCAGAATTGTGAAATACTGGTTTGCGAAGTCATCTACAAAGACGGTAACGAGTATCCCTTTAATCACCAGGCTACGTTAAATATATTTGTAAGGGGACATGACCCCTGTCTTCCTTAAGTGTTGCATTTGTCTCACTGGAACAAAGCATGTACTGTATTCGCATCATATGTTTATTTACTTCAGAATGGACCGCTTGGGTCACATCGGAGGGACTTTGTAACTGTGACACGGACTTGCGAGAGAGGGTTAGGAATCGAACGTGCAACACGAAGGGAATTGAGGGGCGAACATGCGACGGACCTAGCTCCATCAACGATACGGTATCCTGTGCTGGCGATCCTGCTTGCACAAGTACTAAACACATTCATATTTCAATTTCTAATGACCTATTGATCCCTGTATATCGACCAGGAAATCATATTGTATTCGGAGATAATATATATTGTCAATGCTGGAGAATAACCAGTCTAGATTATCAATCATTGTTCAACTATGTCTAACATCACAGCTTCGATTTTTGTCATGGGTACAATGTGTGGAGCCCATTTCCGGTGTCCCCCGCCGTGATATTGCTGGAATATTGCTAAAAGCGGCGTAGAACCATACTCACTCACTCGATTCTTGTCGAACAGTGAGTGAGTTGGGTGTAATGGATTTGTCAGCATCAGTTATAAGTTATAGCACGGCGTTTCTGTTTATTGAGGGAAGAAAGGGCGAAAGTGATGCCATCCTTTTGGTGAAACCTACTGACTCTGCTATCATACTTCGGGTGGATTTTGAGACCCGTCTAGCAGGTGCTTGCACGCTAAGGGAGGCATGATTAGATTTAAATTTTCTAAAAAATGGCAAGAATCTAACTTTTGAAAGTCAAGTTCACGGGAACTTCAGGGGAAAGTAACACAATACAAGTTAGTGTAAGTACTAATACAATATAATTGATTGTTTTGATCTGTGGATCATTCGTGTTTATGTCACTAGTAATGTGTCCAACAATATTTTCAGCCACAACTACTACAGCTACAACTACAACTACAACTACAGCTACAACTTCAACTACAACTACAACTACACCTACACCTACAACTTCAACTACAACTACACCTACAACTACAACTACAACGCCCTGGGCAGTGTGGTCAGCACCGTGGTCAGCTTGGTCAGGTGTGTAGGAAATAAGATGCACGTTATGTGCATTTCCGATACACTAAATAACTAGGCTATAACGAATAGTTGGCTAAAACAAAGATTTATTCCATCTCCAGGAATGGCAATTAACGTTGTTGTTCTTTCTGATAACGAACTCAGGGTATAACCAACTGGCTTATGTTGTACCATTGTGTTGGTTATTTGTTGTGCGGATTGGATTTTAGACCAAACTGTCTGTTGTCAACTCAAAAGTTGATCCCCATCACTGACCACTCCATCCACTGTACCCGCCCTACCCACCCCTGGCAGGTTTTCGGGGTATGTCAGGATCCGCTGATAATGGCACCTGACCGTACTCGTCGGTTTTACCAAAATGTTTGTTGGTTGGTTTTTAACGCCGCACTCAGCAACATCTAACACCATAGCTTTGTACCTTGTCATACAGTAAGCTGGGTGTAACGGATCTGTAAGCATCAGATATAAGTTATAGCAAGGCGTTTCTGTTTATTCTATTATTATAATCCTGTGTTGGCGATCCTGCTTGCACAAGTACTAAACTCATTCATATTTCAATTATTGTCTAATGACCTATTGATCCCTGTATATCGACCAGGAAATCATATTGTATTCGGAAGCTCAGATCTGAGATAATATATATTGTCAATGCTGGAGAATAACCAGTCTAGATTATCAATCATTGTTCAACTATGTCTAACATCATAGCTTCGATTCTTGTCAAACAGTGAGGGAGTTGGGTGTAATGGATCTGTCAGCATCATTTACAAGTTAAAGCATGGCGTAGTCTGTGAATTGAGTAAAGAAAGGGCGAAATTGATGCTATCCTTTAGGTGAAACCTACTGACTCGGCTTCGGGTGGATTTTGAGACACGTCTAGCAGATGCTTGCACACTTAGGGAGGCGTGATTAGATTTTAATTTTCCAGCAAAGGAGCAATAATTCAACTGTTTAAAGTTAGGTTAGCAGCTTCACGGGGAATTTATACCAATGACTACAGATCATTGTAAGTACAAATCCAATTTCATTTATTGTTTGCAGCGTAACTGTTGTTCGTGTACCATCCATGTTTATGCCTCTAATAATGTGTTCAATACTATTCAACAGCACCCTGGACAGCATGGACAGCGCCAAGACCGTGGGCAGCCTGGACACATCCAACACCCTGGGCACCTTGCACAGCGCCAAGACCGTGGACAGCCTGGACAGCGCCAAGACCGTGGACAGCATGGCCAGCGCCAAGACCATGGACAGCATGGCCAGCGCCAAGACCATGGACAGCATGGCCAGCGCCAAGACCATGGACAGCATGGCCATGGAGGCGCTGGAGTGGGTGGAGAGGCGGGAGGCGCTGGAGAAGGCGGACAGGCGGGAGAAGGTGGAGAAGGCGGACATAACCACACCCTTGAACAGCTTGGTCAGGTTGGTAGGAACTATGATAAACATATTTTCGTTTACGATACACACTAACTCGGTATGTAACGAAGTGGCAAAAACGAAAAGTCGGCTAAGAACAAAGCTATGTTCAATGTCCAAGAGTGGTTCTAATACGAACTCCAGGTATAACAAACGAGCCTTTTTGATAACATGGAATTGGTTATTTGTGGAGTTGATCAGATTTTTAGACCAAATTATCGATTTAATATTTGATCCCCCACACCTTTTATGCCTACCCAAGACAGGCATTTTTGGCACGATCGGAGTTTTGTTGGTTTGTCAGCAGCTAAATGTACTCGTATGTGTTACAAAAAATGAATACACCTCCCCAAGAGATAAGATAAGACTTTATTATCCCAAGGGAAATTCATATTACAGATTGCTTAGCACGAAAATATGAAAAAGAAAATATATGATATTACAACATGTACATAAGAAAATAGGACACTTACTTATATAACCACAGAACACTAGAAAACTGAACACTCACGCAATGACAAGGAAAGACATTTGAAAATATATGTATTTATATCACAGCAAGAGTAAACTTTAATAAAAGGTACAGGATTTGTGTACAGCGTGCTGTTAAAAAGTACCAACAGATAAACATTTAAAAGACTGGCACATCAAGCTGGCACGCCATGATATACCTGAAATGTTGATACAAAAACGGTGTTGAATCGAACTCACTCACTCACCCGAAGCATGTTCAATGCATGACCGACGTAAGTGAGCCTTAGTCTTGCAAACACACATTGAAACTGTCAAAGATGTATGTCTCTTAAGCGTCCCTACAAAAAGCAATACATACCTATAAATTATATGCATTGAAGAACTGTCAATGTCAATGTTATCCGAAGTCATTACTTTTACAGGCGCGGTATATGTATACATGTATATTATTTATTTTATATTTAGAATATAACCATCGCTTCTCTGGGTGTCTGTTGAATTTGTAACTCAAAATCTCAAAAAAGAAAAGAAAACCGAGTGAATCGTGATATCTAGACAACATATTGAGACCATTCAGAAAAGAGTTTTAGTTCTTTGGTTCATATTTGCTTGAATTAAAAAAACTAGTGTGAGCCTTTTTTCTGCCCTCTTCAATTACAAAGGTGACATATTTACCCAGTGCGTTTGATTGAAGCATTAAGAATTAAAAGGTTAACACTGTGAAATAAGAGAAATGATTGAGAACACGGCCAAAGGGTATTCACCATTGTTGAACTTCTTTCATGTTTTTAACGTCTGTATGACCTGTGTCGTGTGTTTTATAGTTCCCGTTTCTTCGTTTTTCAGATCTTGGCCAACCATGTGGACACCAATTTGAACATTTCTAGTTCATTAAAATATGCATGTTAAAACATTTCTTTGTATTGTTTTTTCTACATATACCCATAAAATAAGTAATTTGCTAAAGAGACGAAATATGCAAAATTTCACAAGCTAAAACATGGGAATTAATACAATGTTCTCGTTCACATCCAGTTAGGGAGGTACGGTCATCTTTACAAACCTGCCTTTCACACAACCCGTGAGATATCGTATGTACGAGTCCTTATATTGCAACAGTGTTGCTATATGTCACGGAGCTGTTCTCCAATGACCAGGGGTGTCATAAAATAAGAATAAAGCAACAATGAAATTAATAACAACTTATTGCAGTTGGCAATAAAAAACTAGATAAACTCAATCTGCGCTAATATACAACCTACTTAGCTAAGCAGCTGTATTACAGCAATAAAATTAGAAAAATTAAAACAACATTTGATAAGATACCGACCAGATGCGTAGACAGCCAATGAAGTCGGCTGCGATCAGTTAACTCCACACTCCAATAATTAAATAACATCGGCTGGGTTAAATAACGGGAAATACACACAGAGGGCCTATTTGAAAATAAGTCACTTAGACTTACAAAATATACAATTTCGTTTTAATATCAACTCGTCTTAACAGACTGAAGTTTCAGTCACTTTGACAAAACAAGGACATACTGAAATTCCTTAATAACGATACAATCACGGGAAGTTCGGTTATAGTCGAATTACTAGAAAAACAGAGTATTGCAAACACTAGTTAGTTAGTGCCTAGACTATCACGGGAACGTTGGTTATCCATGGATAACTAGCAAAACTGAGTATTACAAACACCAGTAACTAAATTTACTTCAACTGGACTAAGTCAGAATCCAGATCGAACCATGTCCCAAAAAACACTAACTAACGAAACCTGTGTTTCGAACGTGACCACTCCAGTAGCGAGACAATCTTGAACGATTTAATGGAACCTGGAGGGTGAAGACGCGAGATCAAGAAAAAAACTTTAAATATACAGCGCGCGGACGTCGGAGGGGCCAATCTCTCCTGGACCGCCGGGGAATACAACTGGGGATTACAACTGGGGCGCCTAGCCAACGTGTGTTTTTTACACTAATGGCAAACTAAATACAATGTCCATACTGAAGATGTAAGTATCAAAATAAAGCGCTACACAACAGGACACAACAGGCTATGTACAATTATACATGAGAAATATCTGAATGTACATATAAATTCACCTAATGCTTGCAAATCATAATGACAAAAACATTTTAATACAAGAATACGGAAGAGATAACATACATCCACTCAATACATGATTTGAGAGTGCAAGTATATCACAAGAGAATGAAATAGTTGGACCACTAATTCTTTAACAAAATGTACTGACGCTGTAAGATAGCGACCCCCGGGCTTTGCCGAGCGGTGCCGGAAATAAAGCATGGGAACCGAGCAGTCACTTGACCGTAACATGAGCCACTTAACTCCCCGGTTACACAATAGTTGAACACCATTTCGATTATTGCTATAGTTAAGGATACTATTTATATGCTAGTGCAAAACAGGTACAACTATTTCAATGTTATGTTTTGCGAAAGTTAGGATGTACTGGTAATTATTATCTCATATCAAATACAAAGGTTGTCTGTGAGGATACCCATATGTCTTCAAACTTGATGTATTTTGCATAAAGGGAAAATCTGATTTTGGAAAAGGAAATGCTTGTTATTGGTGTATTGCCATAAGGTCATAGGTGCATATCTACTGTAAATATCTACTGTGCATATCTACTATACACATCTACTGTACAGATCTACTGTAATATCTACTGTATACATCTACTGTAATATCTACTGTACACATCTACTGTAATATCTACTGTACACATCTACTGTAATATCTACTGTACACATCTACTGTAATATCTACTGTATACATCTTCTGTAATATCTACTGTACACATCTACTGTAATATCTACTGTATACATCTACTGCCATATCTACTGTACACATCTACTGTAATATCTACTGTATACATCTACTGTAATATCTACTGTATACATCTACTGTAATATCTACTGTACATATCTACTTACATATCTACTGTAAACATCTATTCTAATATCCACTGTACACATCTGCTGTAATATCTACTGTACATAGCTCTTGGACAGACAGATAGACAGACAGACAGACAGACATGTTTATTCAGAAAAAGGCCAATGGCCTAAAATACAGACATGTGAGCATGACATTTACAGGGCACAGAATTTATCATTAATTATTTTGTGAGCATAATATAAGAATATACAAACTAGAAATAATGTTTGCTCATTATAATTACTAAGAATATTTATTACATGAGAATTACTGTAATGAGTAGGCATAGGAAGATTAACAAGGTACTTTTGTCTTAGGGCAGAATATAAATTACAATTAAAGAGTACATGAAATTCATCCTCAATGACATTAACTCCCTGTAAGCATGTAACGTATTCATGAACTGTACACATCTGCTGTACTCCACAGTTGAAAAAATCTACTGTAATCAACAACTGTAATTCTTAAAATAATCCCATGTCAAGATCCATTTTCACTCACTGGCGTTATTTTAGGACCTGCGTATGAGTACAATGCTATAGACGGTTTAAGTGTCAGCTGAAGTCTCAATGAACCAACCCATTTTATTACATCCAAATCATAGGCAGTTAGTGTTGCTTACTGAATCTCCCACATCTCGGAGAAACATAACATATTGATAACGTTAGAGAATAGTTTGTTCAGCAAATAGTCATCAAATTGGTGGTGGTTCCAACTGCAGCTTGGGCTTTGACGTTAACCTTTCAACGCAAATCAGCCAATGACCACACACGATCAATGAATAAATCATCAATTACATTATAACACAGTTTCAGGTTTACCAGGCAGGCAATACAAATGGGGAACTAAGTGGCAGTGGCATTAAGTTACATGCTCTGTTATTAATGTTAGAGACCGTCTCCGTGGTCTAATGGTAGAGCGTCCGCCCGGAGAGCGGAAGGTCCGGGGTTCGATCCCCAGCCGCGTCATACCAAAAGACGTTAACAGATGGTACTTGTTGATACCATGTCTGGCGCTCGGCATTAAGGGGCTAAAACAAGGACTGGTCGGCTCGGAGTCAGAATACTGTGTCTGAGTGGGGTATTCATGTTAAACTGCGGCATGGTATCTCAGTGTGCGAGCACTATAAATCGGCATCAGCCCGGACTAGTACAAGCAGCCACACATACATACACGTGCATGCATGTCGCTATATAAGTGCAATAATCTTGGACGCGACGTTAAACCCCATTTCACCTCACCTATTAATGTTAGAGCACTCACGAATGTCCAGAATTTTGTCTCTGATCCAGCTTTGTTAGAAGCTGCCAGGAATTGAGTGTTACCAAATAGGTATGCAGGACGCACTTGGAAAGTGGATGAGTTTGTTTGTTTCTTTGTTTCTTTGTTCTTTAACGCCGCACTCAGCAATATTCCAGCTACATGACGGCGGTCTGTAAATCGGTCTGGACCAGACAATCCAGGGATTGACACCATTGACATCTACGCACTTGGGATACGGTGACATGCATCAACCAACTCAGCGATCCTGACCACCTCATCCCATTAGTCGCCTCTTCCGATAAGCATGGACGCCTCTCAAGACTTTTTCTATCCCGGATCTACACGGGTCGGAGGTTTCTAGGAACAATGTACTAATTTTGACAAATTTCATACAACTATACACAGAATGTGTTAATATTCATTATAATCCTAGAAATCGTCCTGTGCACCTACGCATCAACTACATGTGTTTTGGTGCACTACCACCAATCAATTGCAAACAGGGTATCGGAGGCTCCGCCCCGTCAAAGGGTATCGGGATTTTCTGTACGTTTGCCACTGAAAATAACTATCACTGCGACAAGGACCATGACAAGGATGTTATGTCAATTAACCGCACTTGGTATTACAATTTCCCCGAGTTTGTTACAATTTGCCGCACCTGTCTTTCAATAGAAACGATGAAACTTGAAGTCAAATCGCTTTTATATTTCCTTAAACATGCTGGAGGTTGGAATTGATCTGGTTAAGGTCGAACAAGCACAGTATTCTTAAGAGATGTTAATACAATTTCCCGCATTTCTGGTGCCCCCCCCCCCCCCCCCCGTGATATTGCTGGAATATTGCTAAAAGCGGCGTAAAATCAAACTCACTCACACTGCAGATATATTGTACGAAGCCATTACTGACGACGAAATAAGGGCAGCTATTAGAAATTTAAAGTCTAGTAAAGCACCTGGTATTGATGGTGTTCCTTCTGATTTTTATAAAAAAAATGCTCTTTCCATTGTGTCATATTTAAAAATACTTTATAATTTTGCATTTGCTTTTGGCGAATTTCCAGATGAGTGGAACACAGGAATGATTGTCCCACTGTATATAAAAAGGTGACGTTCGAAATCCGGACAATAACTGGGGAATTTCGCTTTTAAATATTGTTGGTAAAATTTACACTTCAGTACTCGAACTGAGAATACGAAACTGGGTCGAAGTTAATGATATGCTACACGGAGCACAAGCAGGATTTAGAAATGATTGTTCCACCACTGTTCAATATTTTGTTCTACAATCCCAATGTCAGAAATATCTGTGAAAATCAAACCACATATTTTATGCTTGTTTCATAGACTTTAGAAAAGCCTTCGACTATGAAATAAGTTGTTGTATGTAATATTAAATAGAGGTTTTCATGGTAAAATGTTTCCTATCCTTAGAAATATGTAAGAAAATATAAAAGCAAGAATTGAAGATGTGAAAAAAGTCTTTTTAACACAACAAGCGGTGTTAGACAAGGATGCATGTTGAGTCCTGATCTTTTTATAAACGAGTTTGTACGTGAAATGGATATTCTTGGGCTAAGAGGCATATTTGTGAAAGATTATTTTGATGAAATCATGGGTCGAAGTTAATGATATGTTACACTTTTTTATTTTCTTAAACATGCTGGAGGTTGGTATGGATCATGTTGAGGTCGAACAAACACTGTAACTCGAATTTGGTTTGAAAGCGGAAGGATTAAGAAATGTTATTACACTTTACCGCACTTGGTATAACAATTTGCCGCAGTTTGTTTCAACATTCGAACAAACACTGGAACACGAATTCTGTTCTGAGTAAATACAAATATCAAGAATTTAATGTTCATTAGTATTGATCAATCATTCGTTTTCAAAGTCCGGATTTTGATTTCAAAACAGCATAGTCGCACATTTTAAACTTCATGCATGTTTCTTTGTATTTTTGCAAATGAATGATCTTTTATAACAATTTACCGCAGTGGAGTTATTACATTTTGCCGCAGTATGTATGCAGTCAAAATCCGACGTTATCATGAGCTCGTGTTTATCAATCACTATCAAATAGTGATGATGCCACGTGTTCGCGGAGAGGTGAGCGCATCTTTCCAAACCGGTAGCACCCGTCAAGAACCCATGCAAAAGCGAGTCAATTGTTCATCTGACAAAACACGGGAACATATGGTACAAGTAAAAATAAGGAAGAAATCCTTCGCTTATGTAATACAGTTTGAGCAATCGAAGGATCACGATTGTTCTAGAATGTGTCAGGTAATGTGATAGTCGAGTTAACCAGTTAAACTAGTAAATCCAGTTTGAGTATGGATTCCTTGTTTACCAAGCTTAATTCCCAGATAAACATATATTTACACATTGGTTAGAAATGGTTTATTAAGCGAGGATATATTTAGACCAATTAGCAGCGCTAGCAATGATATCAATCTTACAATGAGTACCCGAATTAAACAGATTTATTTTAAACATATTTTATTCAGATTGAAATGGCTTGGGAAGTTATCCAACTTTGGGCTCCGTCTCTATGGTAACTATAAACCCTTGTACAGTACATCATACAAAAGAAGATCAGTGTTTACATATAAAATTAATATACAAAAAAGACTGGTATTTACATGAATGAGATACTCATATCTCTTTGTATGACTTATGAACGTTTTGCACTACCTTAAAGATATGTGGCCTCCTCCGTGATCTAGTGGTAGAGCGTCTTCCCGGAGAGCGGAAGGTCGTGACTTTGACGTAAAGAGTAATTTCGGACGCAACGTTACACCTCATTTCTCCTCACCTCAACTCACAGATTCTCGATAATAGACAAAGGGGCAAAGGTCTCAGACGTTTTTACTTATTCGGTGAAACCCACGAGCACGGGGTATGGTGCTGACAGTTCTAGAAAACATAATTGGGGCGAACTGGGATTTGAACCCACAATCATACGTTTGTGGCGTGCCGAAGGGACGCAACTCTGCACAGCGAATCGCAGCGCCTTAGACGACTGGGCCACCCGTGCCCCCTCTAGAAATAATAAGGCTATGAGTTTTCACATGGATTGCCATATTTTCATATTGGATCACATCTTATAACTTTACTGCTTTTCTTGTATTTTATAGTGTATGATAAATATTCAACTTCCTGTCATCATAGGAAAAGTATGAAGGTGCAACACATTGTTCTTTGAACTGGGGTATAGATATACAATGTCTAGCCTGCTACTGGGATAGTGGTCCAAAACTTTACATTTGATGGAACAATAGAACAAGTTGAGCGTTTTAGTCCAGTAGGTGAGATCACAATATTTCTTAAATAACATGATACATTTTTTAACCTACAGTGGTTGATACATCGCCCTTAAGATAAGCTAGGGCAGTATAACTTTGTTTTTCGTAGAACAAAATACCTAACGCTTCCTCTTTCGTTCTACCAACGTTTCCTATCCCGTTTCATAATACAGATGTTTGTTGGGAGAATCCTTTGGAAAACCACTAACTTTTCTGACAGCTCTTGTTTGAGATTTTCTAATTATAATTGATAATTATATATTACAGCCCACACTTCACACGCATATTCGAAACGGGTTATTGCTGTTCAGTTTGAATTTAATTTTCTCATTGAATTTATTAATTTTGATGTTGATTTAATTATATTTTCTACAAGACAGGACCATTTTCCGTTTGATGAAAACACTCTTCTCTAAAGTTTATGACTTTAAACATTTTAAATTTACATTCATCAACGTAGGTAATAAGGTCTGATTCATCTTTTACTGAAAATATAACTGCTTCTGTTTTATCAGGGTTGTATTTTAAATTAACCAACATTTTGTCCAATTACATTTCTTTTTTCGATTTAAATTGGGAGTTGATTCAACTATGTTATCACCTGATGAAGAAAAGCCGAGTCCTGTATCGTCAGCGGAGAGATTGTTATGCAATCTTATTCATCAGTATTGTCGTCAACAAATACAGTGAATAAAAAGGGACCTTACACCGATCCCTGTGGAACGCCAGCCTTCAAAATTCTTGGTTTGGATTGGGCCTTGCTTACAAAGACTGTTTGAGTACGATTGTTTATATAACTAGACAACCACTGAAGTTAATTCCCCTTTTTACCACACAATTCCAATTTGATCAGATACAGTGTCTTTGTTCATAACATACACTCGTTACGATGTCTGGACCTTGGCTTGAAATTGGTTCAAGACCATTAGCACCAACGAGCGATACCAAAAACGTTGGAAGACATGACGGAACTTTCGACTTGTACACCTTTCACGGACAATGCGTCATAATGAAATTGCCTTTGTGTGCATAGCACCAGTGTTATAATATGTGTGAACAAACAAAACCCCGTGACATATAGCATGACAATATCGGTCTGGAATACGTAGCGTTTAGATAATTATCATAATTATTAAACGTTCTGATGGACTGTTGCCATGGTATCAGTTACTGACTGTGATTATTCTAAAATTCATACACTTACTTTTAGTGCCTGTGGAGATTTCAAGACCATGTACTTGTGTACCTACATCGTGATGTACGTGTAGCTTGACGTAACTGACAACACTAACTTATTGTGAACATGAACAGACAGCAGCTGTGAGGTAGAGAACACTGAGGTGCACTCTGTGCATGAAAGAACTGCACTGGCTTTCATCACCATTGGGTGTGGCGAGAGAGGTGTCAGTCACTAATCGTCTAAGTATGACATACAATAGGTTTATTGGTTTACTGCTAGATTAATCTGGTTTGGCTTGGCAACTCCTTGACAAATTGTCAAATGATAGTGTGAATGCTGATTGTTGTATTTAAATGGGTCGGTGGGTTGAATGAGTGAGTTGATGGGTGTTTGATTTGAAGTGAGTGAGTGAGTGAGTGAGTGAGTTAATGGTTATTAATTGTTATGGATGTCAATAGTTGTAGCTAAACGAAATTCTCATCAGCAATGTATGCATAATATACACACATCTTTTAAAATGCAGTAACTTGCACTTGAATCATAAACCTAATTTTGAGTGACAACGCATGTAGCTAATGGAGTCTGGACCTATTGTTCCCCGGAATACATACTGTTGGAACTGAGAGAAATACAAGCATTAAGAGGCACTACGAGATTCTTATTTTGAGTTTCAAGTTCAATCGTATATTTTTTTTGTATTTTTGAAATCCAACTTCAAGGTATTAAATTGCATAATATTTTCAACAAACCCGTCAGTACGTTTTTCCACCTTTTAATTTAAGAGAGGCGTACACACTGAATTGATCCATATAGAAGATTATTGTCTTGAAAGTATAATCCCTACCTTCACATGCATTATTGAACGTCACCATGAAATATTGCTATGACGAAGCACACCCAGAATGCTCTGTTTGCATTTTTAGTACTTATTTGAATGTATAAATATTCACCGCTTATCTTCGAGTTTCAGTTGGTAGCCTCTGAATGATACGGAAAGGAGACACTCCTTAAGGTAAGGTACAATAACTCGTTACATATTGCTTGTTTAATAATTTTGGAAATGTGTATGCATATATTCGAAGATATATCGAATTACACAGTTTTCGTTGCTTCCAGTTTCCAATCATGCTGCTTCTGTCTGTTGCCCTGCTGACACTGGTGTTGCACGCGCGCAGCGTTGGCGCCGAAGGCGAGTATTCCTAGATAGTATGTCATTATGATGTTCACCTATTATAAATTCGAGGATCCAAATGAAACCATTTATGAATTTGAAATTAGGAGAGTGCAGCAATCGCATGTGTCTTGGTTCATTTCAAACTGTCGAAATACAGTAACTTGTAGTAAGGAGGATAGAACGTTTAGCCACGTGGATATTTACAGTGATTGTGGGCAAAGTGTAATTGGTGCTTTAACCCTAACTAATAAACGTGGTGTGCCTGGGCTGGTCGAGGTGGACTGATTGATTAGTCGTCTTAAAGTCTTCTTTTCTCAATGCCCTTAGCCCCAGCATACAAAGTTTGGATTCGTCGAAAAAGTAGCAATTTTGTCATGTAGGTGAATTGATATTATTTCATTATAGTTACAAAATAATATTGCCAGAAATGATTAAAAATTACCAATGGCCAGGATTGGTCCCAAGAAACTTAGCTAACAAATCAGGGTGCCGTTGTATAAAGTGAACTTAGCGATAAGATAAGGGACGTGAGGTGAAATGGGGTTAAGATCATTGCACTTATGAAGCTACTTCCATGCACGTATGTGTGCGTGGTTAATATGAGTTAATAGTGCAAACCCACTGAGATTTCGTGCCGCAGTTTAACACGAATGCCCCACTCGGACACATTTTACTGACTTTGAGCCGACCAGTCCTGTATTCAACTCGAGCGCCAATTATACCCGCAAAACGGTCTGTGAGCAATCATCCAAGATTCGAACTGGTGCCTGGGCAACACAATTCATTGCCATCACGCTTCTTCCAATGATTCCCCTCTTACTCCATACTTGAACGTATACTCTTAAAGCCAACTCGCCTTTGTGCTATCGACCAAAAATCGAACTGGATTCGTCGGGCCGACATCAATATAATTCATTTGTATAGACACTGGTCTCTTTCACCTCCAAAACTCCCATTTCTACGACAACATCTGCCCTCGGCTTTTCGTCTTGTCAGTCAATTATACACTTCATAAAACTCCCTGTCACATAAAAAACCGTTTATATAAACGAACATTTACAAGGGCTTTCTTGTGAATTAATCTTGTATTTTGATTATGGATGGGGCCGTTATATACTGCCGAAATAATTACTCTGGCTGTCAGAGTGGGTTAAAATGGACGAGTGATTGAGTGAGTGAGTGTGTGGGTGAGTATGGTTTTACGACGCTTTTAGCAATATTCCAGCAATATCACGGCGGGGGACACCAGAAATGGGCTTCACACATTGTACCCATGTCGGAAATCGAACCCGGGTCTTCGGCGTGACGAGCGAACGCTTTAACCACTAGGCTACCCGACCGCCCCTTAAAATGGACGAAGGCATTCAAGGGGCTTTCTAACAATCTAAAATAATGTCGATTTTGATTATGCCGTTATATCGGTTTTTTTAATAGTCCTATTCACCCGTTGCCTGTTGACAATCTGATAATATTAACATGGGTTTACTGGCGATTTTGTCATTCTGATAATTGATATTGTAACGGGGTGATTTCTAAATGTAAGCGCAAATATTACCAACAAATCAGTTCGAGTGAACTAAATTCTGAAATCAGTAAATGACCACACAGAATCAATGAATACTGGAAAAATGAACAATATATATTGAAACACAGTCTTAAGTTTACAATCACGAAAAGCGACATAACGGGTCACTTGTTCAGCAGATAAGTAAAAAATCAGATCGTAAAACGTCCCGATTCGCGTTCGTGTCACTATTAGATACACCCGGGTTTCTGGAAACCGTTTAATCCCGAAACTTCTTAAACGATTAAACCTCCCATTATTATTTACAACAACCCTTGGCAACTCATAGTTACTCCTTCTTTGGTCATCTTCCCGAGGCAAGAGAGTTAACTGACTATAAAAGTCCAGTTTCCACCCTTGCCGAAATAGGCTGGTATTATGGAGTTACATTTTGGCTGGACTAACGAGTCTATGCATAGTCAAAAATTGAAATCGAAATCCGGTTCGTAAACTGTCGTGCACATTTCGGTCGATTGCAGGATTTTCAAAGCATGTGCACCCACCGCCAACTCGTTGTCAGCAGATATTTTCCAAATCTTTTCGTGTTTTTAATCAAGGTGTTCACATGATTTGATGCATTTCGCGATGTAAGATCCGTTTTATCACAATATAGATCTTGATTATCGATCAGATCGTTTTGACTGGGCGCCAGCATTTTGTGTGAAGCAAACGCAAGTGATACGAGAGATGGAATCTGATTGGTCCATAGTAGCTGCAGAGGCTACGAGGGGTGTCCCATAAGTTTCCGGCCTCCATAAGTAATTTGCGATTAATATAAAAATTGTTGTACTTATTTTTCAACATTATCTCCCTTGACCTCAATGCACTTGTTTCACCGTTTCTCCAGCATATTTAACCCGTCAGAAAACCACTGTTTGTCACGTGACCCTAAAAACTCCACTACAGCAGTGATGATCTCCTCATTTGTCCCAAATCTTCGGCCCCTGAGTACAGTAAAGATTTGAGTTGAGGGAAGAGGAAGAAGTCAGAGAGGGCCAGATCTGGAGAATAGGCTGGTGAGGCAGGATCTTGAAGCCACATTCATGTGCAGCGCTCACTGCTACTTGGGCGGTGTGAACTGGTGCGTTGTCCTGGAGGAGCCAGACACCTCGGCTTAGTTTACCTCTGCGCTTTGCTTTGATTTCATTACGCAATCTGCGCAATTCATCTGCATAATAAGCACCGGTAATGGTGGAACCCTTCTGTAGATAAATTATCATGATTACGCCCGTGGAGTCTAGAAAACGGAGGCCATGACCTTGCCACTGGACGATGTGCTTTTGAACTTTTTGGGTGTTGGTGACGTCACATGCTTCCATTGCATGCTCCACTGCATGACTTTTTGTCTCTGGGTCAAAATGATGAACCCAGGTTTCATCCTGAGTAACAATATGAGCCATGAAAGCACGTGGATCTCTCCGAAAATCTTCCAGAAGCTGTTGACTAATCATGACCCTCTGACGTTTTTGTTCTTCAGTCAACATTCTGGACACCCAACGGGCAGACACCTTGTTCATGTGTAAATGTTCATGGATTATTCGTTCCACTGATGTTTTACTCATGTCATGTGCAGTAGCTAACTGTCTAACAGTTACTCGTCTGTCCTGCATTATTGTAGAACAAGAACAGCTGCAACTTCATCTTGGGTAGTCACTTCACAAGGGCGACCAGACCGTGGTTCGTCTTTAGTGCTGCGTCTTCCCCTTGTAAATTCAGCACACCACTGTTTGACCGTACTATACGAAGGAGCATTGTCACCTAATGTTTGTACCATGTCATCATGAATTTGCTTTGGCGTTAACATTTTTAAATGTAGATACTTAATAACGACTCTACATTCGGTCTTCTCCATTCTTTCCAAATGTGAGGGGGTCATGCTGTTTGATAGCAATTTATAGGAACTTGTAGCACGTGAGATTCATGTTTTGCATGTCATCCACGTGCAGAGATACTGTTCTAGCAACAGGTGCAGTTTGGTTGAGTTTGGGCTATCCGTTCATGTTGAGGCCGGAAACTTATGGGACACCCCTCGTAAGTAAGAAGGGACAAAACTGGTAATAGCCACTGGTTGCGCTACGATCGAGCCCAGTAATTCCAGCCTAGTTCGGCAATGGTGGAAACTGGACTTTTATAGTCAGTTAACTCTCTTGCCTTAGGAAGATGTCTTTGATGGGCATTTAGAAGTTGGAGTACTAAGTAAGGATAAGAATTTATGGATGAACAACTTTTTCATTACAATTTAAGAGCGACGTTACGATGAAGGTTCTAATACCGTTATCAAGCAAGTGACTTACTTACTTACTTATATTAGAGATTTTACGTGCACTTTCCGACTCCAGCGTATTTCACACACGGGCCCGGCCATTTAATGTGTATCCGAGAAGAGAAAAGTTGTTTGGCAACCCAGTTTTAGTGGTTGCTTATACAGAATTTTGAGATTTGGAATAAATGCCGAGAGGGTTTGGGACAACTGAGGGAGCTTGGTATGGTAGTATGTTTGTTTGTTTATGTTATTTGGATTTGGTAGTTTATTGGGTTTTTTAATGCGATTTATTCGTCCTGTTTTGATTAAGAATACTCCTAAGGCTTTGAATTGTTCTAGTTTATCTTGTGGGTTTAGGATTGCTTCTAGAGTAAGAGCCTTATTTAGATTGAGGGTGGTTTGTAGTGTAGTTCGGTGTGTTAGGTAGTGGGTGCAGTGTATGATTGCGTGTTCTGGTGTTTCTAGTTGTTTGCAGTGTGGGCAGTTTCCTGTTGCGTGGTTTTTTTTTAATTTTGTGGTGGTTATTTAGGTTGGTGTGTCCTGTTTGGAGTTTAGTGATTATTCTCTCGATTTCTTTGGACGGATGTAGAATTTTTGGTTTGGTTAGGGTTTTTTTGAGAACTTTTTTGATTTGGCTATTTGAGTTTAGATATAAGTTATGCCATTTTTTGGTGATTTTCTGCTTGCTGACACTTTTAATTTCTGATTTTGAGATTGGTAAGTTTAAGCTTATTTCTGGGATTTTAAGGGATAGTTTAGCTGCTTTATCGGCGTTTTCAATGCCGTATATTCCTACGTGGGCGGGGATCCGAAGTGATTTACAGAGTGTGGTTACTTACTTACTTACTTTGGAGATTTAACGTGCGCTTTCCGACTGATGCGTATTTCGCACACGGGCCCGGCCAGGCCATTTAATGTGTTTCCGAAAGGGGCGAAAGTGGTCTGTGCAACCCAAGAGGGGGGTTTTAGGGGTTGCTTATATAGAATTTGGGAATTTTGAGATTTGTAATAGATGCCGATGGGATTGGGGAGGAGAACTAAGGGAGCTGGGTATGGTGGATGTTTGTTTGTTTATGTGATTTTGATTTGGTAGGTTATTGTGTTTTTAGATGCGTTTTATTAGTTCCGTTTTTATTAAGAATACGCCTAAGGCCTTGAAGTTTTCTAGTTTATTTTGTGGGTTTAGTA